ACACACACACAGTCGGTGAAAGTCCGACGAAACAGTCTGGTACAGTCGTGCTTTTTTTGAGTGTATAGCGAATATGACAACACACACACCATTTCTGCCTGCTTACTATAATGAAATGACAAGTAACAATTTCTGACAAGTAATAAATAAAATATAATCAATGCCCCCACCCAGCCATATAAGCAGTCGCCTGCACCTGTTTCACTTGGTATGGGTAGCGCTCACTGTAGCACCACGTAGAACCAAGAGCAGACTGCACGGTAGAGCCATCCATTTACAGTTTCTGCTGCAGAGTAGTGATTGTCGACTACCGTCTTTCACTTGAATAGAACGCCCGGTCATGATATCATAGCTGCGCACCTGGACTGAAAGTTGGCTCCATATTCATCAGATCATAGCTGCACTTGGACTGAAAGTTGCCCCATATTCAGGTATATAATGACCGGGCGCTCTATTCGTGTGAAGACGGTAGGCAGGACGCAGCAACGAAGATCTCCCAGTGTCTTTGTGCCATGCCTCTGCCGTGACACCTGGACAGTGGTATGTCGGGACTCGGCGGAGGTGAAACAGAAATGATGATGTACAGCCACAAGAAGATCATAGAGTCCCATCTACAATCGACGTTTGTCCAGATTGGCAACAGAATTGATATGACCTTTTTGACATCCGGAATCAATAATTCAAATTAGTCGTACATCGAAGAGAGAAGAGGAAGAAGCGCCTCTGTTCAGCAGAGGAGGAAGTTGGACCACATGGTGGTACCTTGCTATGAACCACAGGCTTCTCAGAGCAATCACAGGCTGGAAATGTGTGTAGGATGGGCACGAGAGTGGTCACAAGCTAGGCTACAAGCCGGGCCTCCCGGGTCACCTTGTTTGCCCGGGCGGTCCGGCCGTGCAAGGGCCAAAGAAGGTCCCAGCAAAAAAAGAAAAAAGAAAAAAGAACTCAAAGAAATCTGAAAAAAAACTATGTTCTGCAGAAAAATAAACTGAACAACTTTTGCCTCAGGGTTAAAGCGAAATTCCTTACCAAATTTTAAATAAAAATTAAAGTTAAAAAATATTATATATATATCTATATTTTCTTTTTTTTTTTTTGGCCCGGCCGGGGAAGTGGTCCCGGGCCACTCTGGTAGCCTAGGTCACAAGGAATTTCAGCGCTGTAAATAGAGGGGAGATGATTCGTTTCCTCGTCCCGCGATTTAGGATTTGTTATTGTTGAATTTGAATTTCAAATGATTTGTCTGCGAAATTGAGCTTTTTCCAGTGAAATTGATGATTCGTGTTTGTGAAAACTTTTTTTATAATTTTCCGCGAAATTTATAATTCAACCTCTTATCTACCCTTTGGGAGCATTTTTTGGGCTCTTTTCTTCTTGGTGAAAGAGGGAAGGTTTACCGATTGTTTGGTACGGGACACGTTTTGGTTCCCTAGACAGCGATGGAGATGATAAGGATGAGGATGACGATGATGACTCATTACTGAATCTGATCGCGATGATGACAACGTTTGATTAGTCATGGCCGGTATCGGGATAGTGCTGGTGATGGCGATGAGGATTGTGAAGTGATGATGATGATGATGATGATGATAATGATGAGGGTCATGATGTTGTCGAGGGTCGTTGCAAACGCTACCCAACCTCTAAATTTTTGGGTGAAATAGCATAACTGACGCCTTCATAGATAGGCAGGCATGAGACTTTGGGTGAAATAGCATAACTGACGCCTTCATAGATAGGCAGGCATCAGAGTGCCTTTCCCGAAACGTGCCTTCACACCTCAGCGTCAGTAGAGACTGAGAAAGTTGCCTTCGCACGTCAGTCTCAGTAGAGACCCAGAAAGCTGCCTTCGCTTTTGGTGTTCCTTTGAGGGTGGTGATGGTGAAGGGTATGATGATGATGATGATGATGATGATGATGACGAGGGTGATTCGGCTGGTGATGATGCCGATGTATCATCATGTCGTTGTCGATGCGGTTATGATGTTGATGATGAGGGTGATGCGGCTGGGGAGAATGCTGATGGATGGTCATTCTTGTTGTCGAGGAGGCGATGATTTTGAAGGTGATGACTGCGATATGATGATGGTGATAAATGAGACGATGATGAGGATGATGGTGGCGATAAGAGTGTGAGATGAGGATGGTGATGATGATGATGATGATGATGATGATGATGATGGTGACGATGATGTGGAAGGGGAAAAAGTGAAAATTAGGACTCGTTGAGCATTCGTTAAGTAGTTCTTCTCGATATACTGCGGAAGAGTTGACTATTGGAAACCGGAAGGGTTTTTTCCGTTTTTGAGGAATGTTGTCGCATACGGACGGAGGCTGCCGTGGCAGAAGATTGTAGGAATTTCAACGGGTTACACAGGAAGCGGCTGACGTCTGATATAGTCTGCATAGTGATCGGTTTATAAGTTGCTCTCTATGGTATTTGGTCTCTTAAGTATTGGTCAGTTTTAGGAAAGCAAAGCCTTTCCTTAGATGGATTTTTCTTTCAGATGGAAAAACTAACAATTATTGAAAGGTTTGTTTATATGTCCTGGTCATGAGCTGCTGGAAGTCCGATGAAACCGCATTGAAAGGTTTGTTTATATGTCCTGGTCATGAGCTGCTGGAAGTCTGATGAAACCGCACCCCCCCGCCGTCCCCTCTTGTCCCCCGTTTTCTGTCGTTTTTTTTTTTTCCCCCTCTCCTCTAGAAGGTTCGCTGCGCGGGTTTTTATGACAATAAGGTGTGCCACAAATGCAAACTCGGATGACTTTGTCAGCCATCTGCAGGTCGTTGTTTTGCTTGTCCTAGTCCCAGTAAGTAACTCGCTCCAATTTCCTCCTGCATCTAGAAGAAGCGGAGGCATCGTTTCCAAGGCTAGGCCTCAACGTGTCCAGCTGAAGTGCGAAATGCACGATCTTTCTCTCTCCGTCTCTCTCTCAGTGGCTCCCTCTTCTCTCTCTTTTCTGTCTCTTCAATTTCCTTTCTTCTCTCTTCTCGCTTCTCTCTCCTTTCTTCTCTCTCTTCCCCCTCCGCTCTCCCTTCCTCTGTCCTCTGCCTTCCTCTTCTCTTCCTCGTTCCTCTCCTCTCCCTTTCCTCTCCTCCTCTCCCTCTGCCTTTTCTCTGCCTCTCCTTTGCCACTTCTCTGCCTTCCCTCTGCCTGTCCTCCACCACTTCTCTGCCTCTCCGCTCCTTCTTTCCCTCTCATCTCTTTCGCTCGCTTTGTCCCTCTCTCTCTCTCTCTCTCTCTCTCTCTCTACTTTTCCCTTTCTTTCTCTTTCCCTGCTCCCTCTCTGCTCTAGCTCGCGAAGATTGGAGTATACGGTCTCCCATAGGACTTTTCCTTGGGGTCGTTGTGCTGTAGACAGTGCTGGGGCCGCTGCTACGACTCCCGTGCTATTTCGAGCCTCTTGCTCCAGGGCAGCTTGTCGGCGAGGTGGACGAGTCAGATGCACAGCACCTGGATTCACGCCATCACATGGCTTTGTGATGCATGCAGGCCAGGCCCACTCTCGGATCCTTGACACAACGAGGATGAGAGCCCTTGTTTTGTTAACCTCCCCCTGGGTGTGTGCACGCCAGGCCCATTCCCGGCTGCTCAACGCAACGAGAATGAGAGCCCTTGTTTTATTAACCTCCCCCCCGCAGGCTGGTCATCCTTTTTAAAAGGATAGGGTATTTGAGCAACTGGCGTAATTTCCAAGACTGGTGCGTATGAATTGCGTCCGTTATGTTCTGAGTTGACTGGTTCGTGACAGGTGACATGGCAGTTGTGATGTGAACATTGCTACAGCTTAGCGTGGGAAATCCCATTGGTTCTTCTTATTGTTAATTTAACTTAATGATGCTTCCGTAGGTACGTTCGCTGATGACACGTGTTTCGTTGAAATCCGGTTCTTGTTTCAAAAAAGTGGTGCTGATGCTGCTGATGACGATGATAATGAAGAGTGTGGCTGTGCTGATGCCGACGATAATGAAGAGCGCGGGTGTGGGGGCAACTGTATTGGGATTGCTACTGCTGCGGCTGCTGCTGCCTGCTCATGGTGACGATGATGGAGGGTTGATGGTAATGATGATGATGATGATTTTGAGTTGATGACAACGATGCACTGCTAAACATCTCTGGACCCATGAGAACGACTGCGGGGCAACGGGGATGACAGTGACAGTGAAAATGCCGGTAATGTTAATTGTGATAGGAATGATGACAGTATGACAAGGACGAAAGCCGACAACGGAAAACCCAGGGAATTGCTGAATGGGGCAAATGAGAGGTACCCCTTAGCGAATCTTGCACGATACATTGACTACCCCATTCTTCCAAGGAAGGAAACCAAAAGAAGAGCCAGTTCAATCTCCAGCCCAATCCGTGCTTTCTGTTGTCTGCTAGAATTAACAAGCAACTCATCCATTCGCTGTCATGCCGAAGTAAATCGGCCGTGCGATTGTACCTCCCCATTCGAACATCTCCTCCCTCTCCCACCATCTCCTTGTCCCCCCGAATGCAAAATGGGACTATCATGAAGATAGCCCAAACCGAAGAGAAGAAGTAAAGAAAGCCCCTATTGGCATTTGAAATGCCCCGCCGTTTGCATTCATTCTTGTGAGTGGCGAACAAAGGTTGTGACGCTGGAGTTGATTGTTGACTCTGAAGCATTTGCAGTGTGTTTCGTCTGTACCTGGGTAGCTGATTGTATGTGCATTTTAAATGGCTCCGTGTGACTGTAGGTATGTGATACTGGCGTCGTCAACGGTCGCAACATGCTTGAAGTATGTGCTATACACAATCGATGTCGTGATGGAGGGCCAATGGGACAACAAGGCGGTTTATGTCTTCTACCTGGAGCTTGTACGAGATCTTCTGCATCTGTTTGTGTATCTATTATTCTTTCTCATCATATTTGTGTGAGTATTCGGAACCCTTCTGTGCATCTGTTTGTCTTTTCTTTTGTTCTTCCTCTTCGGGCAAGTAACCATGCAATGAGAATGCCAGTAAACCAAGATCGCAACATCTCACAGAAGACCAGACATGATTGAAGCGAGTTGAAAGCAGAAAATGAAAGCGAAATGCACACCAACCAAATCAGACTGAGCAATACACCCAAGGCACTTGATAGTGAAAGCCCTTCCACTGCCTCCAATCATCAAAGCAATGCCAATGTGGTACTCCTATTGGTGTCCTGGATACCCTTCCTACTTCCCATCTCCTAACCTATCTACATGCTGACATTGTGTCCACCGAGGTTGCTCATGCAGGCTGCCTTCGTCAGAGTACCGGGCAAGTGCCGCTGCTCCGCACTGCCTCCCTTCCTTTGCCTTTGTCGTGCAGCAATGTCAGCGCCCAGCTGGCTATGCCGGGCACCCCTCTGCCCTCGCTGCCACCACAGCAGCTTCCTCACGTGCTGCTCTCACCTTCCAGCGCAGCAGCGCTCACGCCAGCAGCATCTGCCCGAATGTGTCCTGGATCGGTGACCTCCTCTCTCTTATGTTGGCTGGAGAGGAGAGGCTGCACCCAGGCTCATCCATAGTCCCTACTGGGAGGTCGACTTGCAGACTCATCTCTGCAACCAACTCGTGGGCTGGTTACATAGGTTGGCCGCTGTCAACCACCTGAGGCCCTCAGTCTGGCCGGCCTGCTCTTAGGCCCGGCTTCAGTTTGCCTGGCCTGTATCACTTAGTGTGGGCAGGCCTTTCCTACACTGTGGAGGGGCCTGAATCCTCCCATTCCCTCCCCCTCAGGTCCGAAAGCCCTCTGAGAACCCTTCATTCAAGCTGTTGCTTCCTTTTGATGCCCATTCATGTTGATGAACAATCTGCGGTGTGGTCTTTAGCTGCTCGTCCCACATGAACCACCTGTCCTTTTTAGGATTCAGGTGATGTCTGAAGGCCACCTGGTATTGCATCTGGATCTTTTTTTTGCTGGTCCCTGTGATGGGCCACTCTCCTTCGCTTTCTACACAGCGCCAACTCCTCCCTCCTGAGAAACTACCCCACTGTGTCCTTCCTGCTCTGTTATGTCCAGGGCTGGAAACTCATCTACCTCCTCTTGCTTGATTTCAAACCTCATCGATGTAGAGAAGGTGACCCTTCTTCGTCCACCCCTACTGACCCTCCCTGTACCTTGCTTGCATTCCTCAGCTTTCTTCTAAATTGAGGGCCATTTTACCCAGGGATGCGGAGTTATTCCTAGAGGTAGTGGGCTCATTGACTACCGGTAGCGGTCCCTTGATATGATCCGGAAGGCACTTAAGATAATTGGTGAGTAGGATCTCCACATCACGTCGCACTCCAGGCACCATGATCAGTTCCTCTTACTTTCTTTGTGACACTCTTGACATCCCTATAGGCTTGATGTCTATCGTGCAGGTATCATGAACTGAGCCGGTGCGACGTGCTAGGCCCATGCCACCATGTCACACCCATAGCCTGCTTCTACTATCACACCATCTAACCATCTCGCTGCAGATCCCTGCAGAAAGGATGCTGGAACTATAACATCCTTGTCTACGCGGGTGTCCTTCTTCCTTGCAAACACTGCCTCAGATCTGAGCTGCATGTCCAGGTTGTCATCTTCCTTGTGCCCTGTAAACATAGCGGGCTATACCATGGATGTCTTTGTGAAGGAAGGAGGTTGTGACGGTCCTACAGGCCCTGTAGGAGACGACATTGTGCATGCACTGTAGCTGCAGATACTGAAGGTGAAGAAGGCCTGGGTCTGAGATGGACCTGCGCTCGAACTGCTGGTGCGAGGCATAGCATACTAAGAAACAGACGGCCTTGATATTGGCGGATAGGCAATGGGCTGCGGCCCTGGAGGTCTGGGTGTATTGGTTGTACTGGAAGGGACTGGTTTCAACTTTACCACCTCCATCAACATCATCTTTATCTGATCCAAAGAAGCTTGCATGGAGTCTAGCTTGCTTTCTACACACTGTACTTCCTCATGAAGGCCCAGAACATTCTCCTTCAGACACTGGTCATGTGGATCAAGATCACTCTCATCCAACGTGCTACCTCTTCTCTCTTTGCCTGTCTGTGGTCAATTAAGATTTTGCTATTTAGTGCTATTCTCTTCTCTCCAAACCTGTAGCAAATCAGCTCTGATTTGCGTACTGTGTGCAGCTGCATCTTGATATGTTTGCTGTTCCGGAGTGAGGATCTGTGGCTGGCTTGACTGTACATCAGCAATCTGACCGAGCTATGACCCTATGGGGAGACTGGGGATTGACTGCCCAACACCCTGACCCTGCCTGGGCCAGGTACTCTGCACCCCGGAGGCCTGTGTGGCCATTGCTGCTAACGCCGTAGCTTCTAATTCGGTGGCTCTGGCGGCAGCCTTTCTTCTAAGCCTAGCCTCTGTTTCATAATCTAGCCCTTGAAAGACGTAAGGAAGACTCTAAACAGCTCTCCTTGTCACACGCCTGTCATCATCCTCTCTCTCACGCCCCTTACCACTTGTGCGAATGGGGACTACCTATGCAAGAACACCCTGTTCGCGGTCCTTGATTTGTTTTTTGTGGTCCTTCTGTAGTACAGTAATCAACTGGTGAATATAAAGAAAGTGTAACCAGACTGAAGTTACCAGTGCTCCACTAGCGGTGGTACAAGAACACATAGGGCCTCGTTCGAAACCACTAGAGAACCCTAGAGTCTCAAGTGCGTCCTGACCCGAAAATCGTGATTAAAAAGTACTTACTGCAATCTTCGTTCCATGTGCACTTTACAAAATACTTGAAACGACCGCACTTGAAACCGAACTCCATGGCTTGACCAATTGTGGACCAGGATCGCCTTTTGCAAAACAAACAAACAAACAAAAAGCCCCACTTGGAGTGCTGGCGGTATCCTCTGGTACTTGAACTCAAGGCTCCCCGGAGAGGTACCTTGAGCTCAAGTGCGAATTTGCCCCGGCGGCACTTGAGTCTCGAGGGCTAGCACTAGAGCGCCGGAAAGTAGAAACAACTCCGCGGCCAGGTTAGGGTGGGGTCGAACGAAGAATTTTCCTTCAACCCTCGAGCTGAAGTGGTGTCGAACGAGGTCCATAGACCTACTGCAGATCAAGACAATGCAGTGTAACCGTCCTGACAAGGAAGGAACCGCTGACCTGAACTTGAATCGCTAAGGGCCTTGCTCCACTGCACAAATTCCAAATGTATCTGGAGGTGCTATTGGTCTCAAATCTCGACACATCCGTAATGTCAAAATGTATTTCGTCCAAGTGCGGTCCAGATACATGCAGAATGTTGTGTAGTGGGGTGACACCCTGTGAAATTCCAACAATGACAATCACCGTTTTATTCACTCATTTAGCTTGAAGATTCTTCTGCAGAAAAAAAAGATGAGAACAACGTATATACTCGAGGAACTTTTCTCCAATGTGTTTTCTTAGCACGATTCATCACAGTAATGTTTGCGAAAAAGGGAAAAAGTCATCAGAAGCTTGAGCACTCAAGGCATACTCATCCTTCGACCTGTTGCTGTGCCTGTGCGTGTGTGTGTGTGTGTGTGTGTGTGTGTGTGTGTGTGAGAGAGAGAGAGAGAGAGAGAGAGAG